AGGGAAGGAAATGATTGATTTAACGTGTGTGGCTCTCAATGCTCGCCCTGCTCCGGAATGTATAGATTGTGAAACGGTGGAAAATTTGTCGATTTGATTTGATTAGTAGTTTGGTGGTGTTTTTGCTACAGGTACACATAATTGATTGAGGTCAAATTGTGGACATACGAAAGCCACTCGTTTTGCCAGCATTCCAGGGCGCGCGCGAGGGGAAAATATTCAATTTGACGATTTCTATAATTATCTCTCCATCATTTGAGTCAAACAATGTGAGCCATTTAATAATGCGCTCTCGTGCAACCCTATTTTGAAGCGCGATCCAATGCAATTGTCAATCAAACTTCTTGGCGCACTTGCAGCTGTACAAATGCCACTTCACAGGGTGTTCAAAATGAGCTTTTCCAGGGGGGAAACTTGCCCTTCCCACGCACCTGTTTGTGCCACACACACACACACACGCACAAATCATATTAGAACGACCTGCAAACTGATGGGCCGTGAATGCTTCGTGATTGTTTTTAACAAAAACAAGAACTTAATTTATATTCCATCATGAAACATAAATTTTGGGCATAATTGAATATTAGACAGAGCCTCTCATTTTATTATCTATTTTTGCCTAATTTGTAAATTTATATAATTTATAGCGAATTGTTTTTATTCACTGAATTGCACTCGTTCAATTAATGCACATGGAAAATTAGCAGTGATACAATTAGGAAGAACTTTACAGACAGCTTATGGTGGTGATTCTGTACTTTATTTCAAGGTTGGCTAGTAGAGCTAAGAAAAGAAGACAAATCATGTTAAAGAAAGCTGAGCGAAAAATATGTTTGAAGAATTTAGCACAACAAATTTACGCGCCAAAATTTTTCCATGCTTTTTGGGTGTTTGAATAATTAAAATGAATTCCAAAGAATACATTGAACTGAATTGATATTTTTTCTTAAAGCAATAATAGTGAATGCAAATATTTGCATATCGTGAAATAGAGCAGCGTGATTGGAAATGTAGTTAAAAACGCATGTGACGCAAATGTCGTCAAAGAGTTAAGTGACTGGAGTGTGATTCATGAGCTCTTTGTCATGAGCTGAGCCTTGACATGAATATTATTTTTAGCTAATTATCCCGTTGGGTGTCAGTTTAGCAGCTTTAGTGACACTGTTTCATCTCACAGCTTTCCAAAAGCATCATCATTCTGCCTATAATTACGTGATATGTGTATCTCTCGTTCCATATTCCCTCTCTCTGTAGCCTATGAAACAGAGCAAACTGATTAAGACCTGATAAATAATGCCTTCTCCAACTATTAAAGCAGCTCGCGCGATGCTCAAATTGCACCTGACAACGGAAAACCCGTTGCAATAATTCCATTTCACATCCTTTCCATATTCATGGCACCAAAAGTCACTAATATGGTGTTTGTCTCGCGTCACAGCGGTGATTTTTTTTGTTGGCGAGTTTCGGATTGCGGTGAATAAAAGAAATCGGAAGATAATTAATTAGGTTTTAGTCCATACGTTAATTTTTATTGTCGGATTAATTCACCAGCGCGGTAATCATTTATTTATTGTCGCCCATATCAATCATATTATTGATTACTTCCGCCTCAGCAGAATGCGAGGTTTTTCTCCACCACCGCGGGGTGGATTGTACGGGTTCGGTGGGTATTTGCGCGGGTGTGCGTCAGGGGTGGTGGATTAACAACAAAATGTCCACAGGAAAAATGCACCAATTCACCTGCCTCAATGGCGACCAATTTTGCATTTGGTGTTGGAGGCGCTGGCCGACCAGCGGTCGTCTCTGCAGCCATCATCCATGAGTCGCCTGAAAAATGCCACAGCTCGCGATGGGGCTGGGCAGGGTCGTGGGGTGGCGCTCGGGGTGCAAAAATATATTTTCAGGCGGCGGCGGCGAATGCATAAAATGCAATAATACATTTTCATCCATTTTGTCCACTCGCCGCGTGTGCAGCGGACACGGAACAGGGAAGAGTCCGCCGTCGTCCTGGGCTCTCGACACATACCATCAGGGATGCAGCAACTGGACAGATAGATGAATGTGCTCCTGACGCGGTGTGCACTCCATATAATGCAATCTCTCCCACCTCCGCCCATCAATGCATTTCGTGAGTGCACAGAGCACACATATATTTGCTTTCAAATCCCGCACTATGAGTGCAACTGACAGCCATCCGGCCTTCATCTCATTCCGCGCGGATGCGAGTTTAATATGCGACGCATAGAAAAACCCACAGTCAACCCTTTTGAGGGCCGCCACCCCCCAGTGCCAAAAGCTCTTTGCCATAGTGGCACACACTCGCACTTGTGGCCGCTGGTGTGCACTTTTGCACAATTTCGCTGCGAAAAGCGCGAAAACTATGCTGGACGCTTCGGTAATTTAATGTCCCCGACCCTCAGCGGAGCGCCCGATGTCGCAACTAAATGGGGCGCCGCGCCACCCCCTAAATGCAGTCATGCTGGATGCCTCTTTCATGCGGGAGGCAATTTTTAGACATCACCATCTCACACTACAATGCGCTCCTTCTAAATTGCTCTCTGCGCCCCTTTCCTCGCCACTCCCCCCGGCGCCATCGCGGACGCCGAGCAGCTCTTCACATGTGGAAGATGAACGTCAGAGATTACGTATGCAAACTTTAAAGGCAATCGCACAGTTCAAAATAATCATATTGATGCATTCTTAGTCAATAATGCAAAAACTGCGTGAGAGTTTATAGGGTAAAAGAGGGAAAATGCGTTTCTGATCAAGTCCAGTAAATCAATCAGCCATCAATTATTCCCATTTAATGAAAAGCGAGATGAATGATTGAAGAAAATGAAATGAAGTGAACGAATTATATTTTTCCGATGTTCAAAAACACTTTGTGAGGGTAGAAATCGTGTCTAGAGTTCGATAAAACCGTCATGAATTGGTCAGATGGGCCAGATTGTTTGAAGGGAATTCTTGTTCAGCGCTTTCTAGTGTTAATGTAACATAAAAACATCCTGCAAATCTGCTACTTTACTTCTCATGTCCAGAAAAACAATCTAAATCGTTCAATATTCTAAGTTATTAGGGAAAAGTACAAGATAATAAGTAAAGCTTAGAATCAAGATTCAAAATAACCCCGTTTTCCCGTATCAGACAGACAAAACCAAGCATTTTCCCTGCTGTTTCCAGGGCAAATGAATTTTGAATACAATCTCCCAATTTTGTAGCATTTCCCATTGTCTCAAAATGCAATGTGAGAAGGAGTTTGGACACAAGATCTCGTTTCCTGTGTCATGAAATGGAACTTCCCGGTGGCACGAGTTCTTCTGCAGCGCGCCAGAATTTCCATTAATATTTGATATTTGTCCACGGAGAACTTGCATATAGTGGCATTAAAACGTCACATTTGTATTTTAGTAGGGAAATTGGGGAAAAGGCGACATCACCTTCCTCGTTTTTCCCCACATCACAGCTCACCATGGGCTTGTGAGGCTGAAGGCATCTCCCCAATGATGGATTATTATCCTGAAAATCCGGAGCTCCGGCGATGGCATAAATATGTAGGAGGGTGCAATTTCCCAGAGTGAACATTACCAAAAGCCCCAACCCACTCACATCTCAAGTTCAGGATGAACCAACTTTTCATCCATTCTGACAGCAAAATCGGACGCTCTCTGACTTTCCCACCACGCACGCCCGCCTCCCACCCCCAAATGGATTGCGGGGCTGCATCCACTTTGTCGCTATATGGAAATATAATGGGCGATGCACTGCGAGTGCACCATAAAACAAAAACAGGTACAAAAGAGGACGCCGAGACGCAAAAGTTCGGGTGACTGGCCACGGGACAGGGACAAATGGACGCTGGGACGCCCAAGTGAGACGGAATTGAGATATAATACTCGGCCGAGCGGCTGGGAAATGTGAAAAATTGCACTCAACACTATTTTTCGCCCCTCTCGAACCGCACAAATTCACGGTTGGGGGGTGGCGCGCCTCGGGGGGGCGGCGGCGCGTCCGGAGACAGAGAAGAGATGGAAATGTTCCAGCACGAGCATAAGTTTTCATCAAAATCTAATTATGCCAGCGGTGCATTAAGAAATTTCTGCAAAGAAAAATCCTCATTCATTTTAATTCCATATGCTCTTTGTGACTCAGGAGCTTTTCATCTTTTCCTGTAGCCTGAATGCTCAGGCAGATTTGCGTGGTGGGGAAAAGAAAGCCAAGGGGTGACGCCAGTCAGAGCAAGAAGTGCAGCTTCTGAGTCTCTCTCTCTCTCTCACGATGCAGAGATGTTTGTGTGTACACCCTTCTGGGCGACTGTCGCTGCCTTGAATCGACCACAAATGCGATGAGTGCAGTGAATGGGAATCCCAGAGAAAAAGACGTAATTAAGAAAATCTCATTATTTAGATTAAGAGAACGAAGAGTGAGCAAGAAATTCTCATTTGAAATTCCAATTAGAGTACCTATGCAGAGGGGGTGGAACAAGGCGGTGAGAGTTGCGGAGAGCTTCAGGCATATTTCAATGAGATATGAAATAGTTAAGCTCTCAAGGAGCGCACATGGGATTGCACGAGAGGGAGAAAGAGAGATGTTAATGGTGAAATATCGCCTTTTTGCGACGAATGTCGCATAAATGAAATTTCGCCAGAGAAGTGACGGGTGATGCAAAGGACAAAAATGATGTATAAATGTGCATATTCGGAAAATGCAATAATTTATCTAGATGTATTCCTCCATGAAGCGACCCACCCATTGTGCAGCGCGCCATAGGATCATGTATGAATGATGCGAAAACACCAAACATTGCAAAGTAGAATTTCATGTGAATGATAAATGCATTTCGAGGTTGTTACATTTTCACAATATCCACATTATCCCGTCAGGCGTTTTGTAATACACCCCGCTGAATTGCTATTTCCACATTTTCACTTCGCATCTCAACCAAAACTGACGACTCTGTGATGGACTCTTTGCATCAAATATATCAATAGCACAAAACTCACCTTCCAGACTCTGCAGTTCCGCAAAAACTCCTCGAAAAGTCACACTTTGCAAACAAAACTGCCAACTTGGAGTCCTCATTCGGCAAAATCGAGCGGAAAACTGAGACGAAGGCATATTTTCGGCACTGTGAAAAGACACAAAGAAGAAATTGTGGTACAGAAGAAATTATCTCACGAATTTAAAACTTGATTCTCTCACCATTTTTCTGACCCCTCAGCAAGTCATCAACTTCAACCCTTTGGCAAGTTTCAATTGATAGTCAGAAAATCTCATCCTGCAGCAGGTTTCCATTCACGCAGCATCTTAAATGGACGTGAAAGGGTTGAGAAATCCCAACTGAAAGGGATCTTCTCCCATATTTCCACACATACTCGCCAGCCAACGTGTTTTTTCTGTCCATTTGACAAACACTTACAGCATCCTGTTTGCTCTCACGGCTTCAATATCGATGAAATTGGTTTAGTTTAGCATTTAACACGACAATGCATAAGCTTGCTTTAATGACTGCACTTTGAGCACCTCTTTTTTTTTACCCATATAAATTCTGTCCAAGAGAAATCAACACTGAACAAGCGATTGAAGAGGTAAATATTTTTTTATTGACACCATCGGAAGTATATTAAAATGCTTTTATTAAATTTTCATCGATCACATGGAATGAGCAAGTGAATAAAGGATTAAATTTCTTCAATGCAGCACATTAAAGGGGCATTTGGATCGGGGTGAATTTCAGGAAGAGAATAAATTTGTGATTTATATTTTAGTCTTTTTTTACGATTTGTTGTTGATTGCGTCAAAAGGACAAATCATGAGTACAAAAAGACTGACAAGTTTAGAGAATTTTGCATAGTAAATGCTCATAAGAAAACACACAAAGCATGCTTCCTCAGCATCAGTGAGCGGAAATGATAGGACAAAAACATCTAATGAGCTGTAATTTCAATGTAGTTTGATCGGCACAGGCCGAAACAGGCGATTCTCCTCCGAATCTCACCCCATTGTGGGCATTTCTTCTCCGTGACGCCATGAAAATTTCAGCCATATATAGTTTTCCACAGCTGGAAGTCGCACCCTCGCGCAGAGAACTCACCCCCGGCCTGAGTGTGTTTGTATGTAAGTTGATGGTTGATGGCTTTGGGAGGAACATGCCGGAGTAGATGTGTAGGTGTTGGCTCGCATGCATAATAAGTTTTGCCCATTATTTTCTACATGGAAATTTTCGGGAGGGACTTTCCTCCGCTCGAGTAGACGATCTATGTAAGGGGTTTAGAGAGCGTCCCGGCATCTCTAATACCTCCGACCCTAATGTTGTAGCGGAATGTCCGGGGGTGCGGGGAAGATGATGAGGGTGGGTTGGCAGGGCGAAAGATGACCGTAGAGTGAAATTCTCAAACCCTCGATGGTTTATACGAAATTAAAACAACACCCTTCGCTGTAATTAAAGGGGTTTAGGAAAATGGCGGACGTGGCTAAATAAATTACTTGTTGGTCTCTAAACCACCCACTTGCTTGTTCATCTCTGGACAAGCACACACTCTTTCGCGCCAAGGGTGGGCGCGGGGAGTCTTGGTCGGGCTGATTTGATGGTCGGAGTTGATGGATGAAGTGGTCTTAATTCCACACCACCGAGCCCCGCGGATGAAGGGTATTATGGGCCATTCTGGCCCATCAGGACTCACCCCTCCAGGGAGCGCCCCGACGCCAGCTTGCTCCTCGGCGTTCCATTACAACAATTGCCTGCCGTTCTGTGTGTCGGGTGCAATTACTTTGAAGTAATTAATCAATTTTGCCTCTCCATACTCAATAAAACCTCCGTCGCTGCAATATCATTTGATTTTGTATAAATTTAATACTCCTCCCTCATTGATTTCTGCCAATAAATTATTCCGCAACTCTTACACCGGCACGCATTTTTTATCCCGCGCCTCACACTCCCATTTGCATATTCCTCTCAGTCGCATTTTATTATTTTATATTGCATTGTAGCACTATATTTAAATTTGTGTCACAGTGTGAATTAAAATAAATGGAATTCACGCTGGACATGTAAACAATCACAGCCCTGGAAGGGGTTGCTGGGGTGAAAAAGTGTTTATATGCACACATTTGCTCTCCGCTGGGAGCATCCCTTGTCTATGACCTTCAGGTGTCAGCTCAGACACCGTCCCGGATCGGAATATCGGAGGCGAAGTGCGTTCTGGCACGCGCTGCTCTGGGGTGAGTCCCAATCCGGGACAGTCAGACCCTCTTTCAACCCCTGAGTAACTTGTCTGCCACGGGATGGATTTATATCGCTTGCGGTGGGCCATAAATAAGGCATCCCGACTGCAGAAGGGCGCCCCGGAATGACAGCAATTGAGAGAGGCAGAAGTCGAGACCTCGAGGGCTCTTCAAAGAGTCTTTAAATAACCTTTTCTCCCAATGACCATTACAACACTCTCAATTACCATATGCCAAATTCCCAAAACTAGGCGTTTGATCTCGTCCCACAGGAAAAGCGCCAAAGCTCAAGAGAACCATGACGGCAGAAAGCCGGATCCTTTTTGACCCTCAATCTCAAACTTTTGATCCTCAGGAGTCCCTCTCTCTTTTCGCCCCCTCATAAAATGCCAGTTTGTATGCATGAAGTGTTTTTCAAGAGCACTTTTTGGGCTCCACCTTGGATGGACTCCCTCTCTTTCACCCACAAGCATTTTATTACTCTAATTTATTTACGGATTAATACCATAAGCACGGCTTCATGGGACTCCCGGTGTTTTTCTGGGGCGCGCGCTGCAAGTAAAAAGTTAACGTTCCCACCCATTATGCTTCGGTATGAGCGAACATCAGCAGAGGTGCGGTAATTTCCTCGTCGTGTCCAAATGGTTGTAGTTTATATACACTTAATGACTTGAAAATAGACCCAAAAGAATTAACTTGGATTTTCTGGATGCGGGAAATTCAAATGGAAATTGTTTCATTACATCATTAATATTTCACCTCCACTTTTTACATCCCCTCGCGCGGCATCAACTATACATTTCCATTGCGTATGTGCTTGATATGGTAACAAATTGAAAATCGCGGACTGACACATTTTTGCATTGCGGGACTGCAAAAAGGCATCGCGTCTAATAGTGAAAGAATTTTTAATTAGAGCGCATTTGCTCATTTTCACTGGTCGCTCAAAAGCTCTGGAATATGAAATGCTCGAATTTTCGGTACAATAATTCATAAATTGGGTATCAAAATTAGCTTCGTCGAGTTGGTTTTCCAAATATATGTGTATAAATACACCAAAGCCCCAACACAGACCCAGACCAACAAGTTGCAAATGCGAATATTCACGTATTCGTGGCGCAATATATAAAATTTCCCACTTTTGCACATTGTAACTTGAGTAAATTTGCATAAATTGCGCCGTGTACATCATTTATTGTATGAAACGCGCCCGGTGAATTATGAGCAAGAGAAAGTCATCATCAACCCATCCGCATCTTCTCTCCCTCAATTTATTTATAATTATGCATATGAATCTCAGCGCTGGGCGATTTCCTGCAAAATGCAAAAACACACCCGAGAGAGCGCCTTTTTTTCCCTCCCTTCGCCCCAAAATCTAGTCTCAGTGCCTCGGCAAAATGCAAATTTTAGAAAACTAATTTAATATAATTTAACACTCTGGACTACACGGAACACAGCGCGAGAGAGAGAGAGTCCTGGAAAGTTAATTATGTTCGCAATAGGTAACTTTCTAATTTAATTACCTAGCATTTAAAGGTACTTTATTTTTTGCCATGCACTGTATTTTGCATATCAAATCGCAAATATATCATGGAAAACTTTGTGAGATGCACTGCCACTGAAAGAGACCGGAAAATAGCCACGAATGACAAACATGGAAAAATTACAGTCGCCACGAAAGCATTGGAAAGAGAAAAAAGTGCATTTTACAGTGTAAAAGTAACAAAAAGGAGGTAAAATATGAGTAACTTTTTACCCATTCACGATGATAGAATAGTGCATTAACACTTTAAACGTGTAAGTGCTTTGCTTTTATCGCCAAAAAATGACTCTATGGGTTTTTAAAAAGGGTTTTGTTCCATTCAGAGGATAAAAAAGGATTTCTAATATAGGCGCTGCAGTAAAATCTGCTTTAGAATGTATAAATACATTTAAAAATGTCCAGAAAGAGAATAAAAACTCTCTTTAGTTACACTTGTGTCAATAAATTGCTCACTTAATGAAAAAACTGACTCATTTTCATTATGACAACACAGCCGAAGGATTTTTTTTTTAGCTTTCATCTCATCTACTTACAATCCAAAATGATATTCAAACAAGTATAATGTATTTTGGGCCCGAAGAATGGCTGGAGTACAGAGAAGAATTAATATTAAAATATTCATTTAATGCGCAAAAATTCCTTGTCTTGCCGGCACTCCATCACGGGCGGGCGGATGGGACGAGAAAGAAGCCGAGGAGTGGACAGGAAAGGATATGAGGAACACGATTCAGGGTCGAGCGGCAATTACTGCTCAATTAAAAAGTGCTGCAGGACCCTCAGCACGTTAATTCCATCCTTAAATATATAATTTTTAAGACTCTTTTCGTGTTTCATATCACGGGTGAAAACCTTATTCATCCCACGGGGGTGGTTCGCGTGCGGGGCGGGGGTTGAAATGTTAATACACGGAGAGATGGTCGCTAATAAAAAGTCTAGTCACTGAGCGGCACCCGCTGTGGACGGAAAAAATCACACACACGTCCCCAAAAGGAGACGGCGCGGCTGCAAAAAGTGACTGTCACAGCGGAGATGGCAAAATAAATGAGAAGAGCTATTCATTAATTTTGGTATTCAGAATATTTTGCGGCCTGGAGGAAATGTTTATTCAAGAGGCGGCCCTCAAGTCCAATATTTGCTTTCTGCCCAAAATTTAGTCGTCTAAAGAGGCGCACTTTTTTGCCCTGTCCACAAAGTGTCTTCTCGACTCGGACATAAATCTTGCCATGACATTTCTGCTCCCCCTCGGCGTGTGTCCCCTCAGATCTGCACCCCCCGGGGCGTGATGGACAGCAATGGGGCGCGCTGTGGGCCGGCGAGAGGGTGGGCGACCAAAGAGACACCGCGCGCGATGAATGATGAGAAAGATTTGTGATGTGAATAATAATTTTTCCACCATTTCCGCATCACTTTTCATGTGTGAATATATTTTCATGAATTTGAAATTAAAGGGCAACGGTGAGAATCAGCGGTAGGAATTTTTCACCACCCCTATTTCGAAATTGCGCTGAGCTTTTTTTCCCCGAGAGAGAGAGGGAAAATAGAACACACATAATATAATCTGTAATTTATTCCTACACACCGATTCCCAATCATATAACTTTTATCGCGTGTGCAAGTGTTTTATTTTCAATTTCCCGGGGGTTAATCACACAAACACTATAATTATGCTG